TTTGCTCAGGCAGGTCTCAGAACTCCTGAGCTCAGGCGATTGACCCACTTCAGTCTCTCAAGAAATGCAGTTCTAAGTAGAGCCATGCCTGACCCCTCTTACCACCAAGAATGCAGATCTGTAATTTAGAAAGGCATGGGATGACTAGCATAGGAGAGATCAGCCAGATGCTCCCCAAATTCATTTCCTTTTCTTCCTGGGCTCATATCTTCTCAGCATGATGAATATGAGCAAAACTCATGTGCACCAGCTCCAGGGCTGGCCCAGAAAACTTCCTGCATGATCTGGGATGCAAATGACACAGGGGAGGACTCCAAGGCCCCAAGGATGAAGAAGCCCTAGAAAAAAGGAACCTGAGTCTCTGATGTTGGGAGGAATAGAACCCCAACACAGCCCACCCACACACCCACAGCTACTGGGGCAGCAGAAATGAACTCACTTCATTTTGAGGTTGTTTGTTATAGCAATTACTTGCCCTGACTGACTCACTAAATAAAAATGGAAGCTCTGGCCATTTGCATTTGACCCCCCAAAGGAATAGGCAGCATAGTATTGGTAATTTTCTAATAAAATGTAGAGTAAAAAGAAGACAGAGGCAGTCTTCTTTAGTTTCTTTCTTTCTTTCTTTCTTTCTTTCTTTCTTTCTTTCTTTCTTTCTTTTTTTTTAGAGACAAAGTCTCGCTTTGTCGCCTTTGGTAGAGCACTGTGGCATCACAGCTTATAGCAGCCTCCCACTCTTGGGCTTAGGCGATTCTCTTGCCCCAGCCTCCCAAGTAGCTGGGACTATAGGTACCTGCCACAGTGCCCGGCTATTTTTTTGTTGTTGTTGCAGTTTGGCTGGGGCTGGGTTTGAACCTGCCACCCTCGGTATATGGAGCCGGTGCCCTACTCACTGAGCCACAGGCGCCACCCTCTTTTTTTTTTTTGAGACAGAGTCTCAAGCTGTCACCCTGGGTAGAGTGCCATGGCATCATAAAAATTCACAGCAACCTCCAACTCTTGGTCTCAAGCACTCCTCTTGCTTCAGTTTTTCTGTTTTTGTTTATTATTTATTTATTTATTTTTGAGACAGAGTCTTAAGCTGTTACCATGGGTAGAGTGCTGTGGCATCATAGCTCCACAGCAACCTCCAACTCAGGTTCAAGCGATCCTTTTGCCTCAATTTTTCTGTTTTTTAGTAGAGACTGGGTCTTGCTTTTGCTCATGCTGGTCTTGAACTTGTGAGCTCAAGTAATCCACCTGCCTTGGCCTCCCAGAGTGCTAGAATTACAGGCATGAGCCAATGTACCCAGCCATCTTCTTTAGTTTCTACTGCATTACATAGCTTTGACATTTAAACAACACTAAAATATGATGTAGCATTGACTATGGGAGGTATAGGAAGAAGTAGCTGGTTTTGAGAGGTGACAGAGATGGCCCTGGGGCCTGGCAGTCCACTGGTACCATGGAGGAAGGGTTGCCAGCTGCTGGTGGACACAGAGTCTTATTCCAAGAGGAGGTGTGAAACCTAGTAAGGGTATCAGGACAAGGAGAAGTGGCCCTAGTGCCCAGAAAAAGGTGAATATTAGATGATGAGATGTGATAATGAGCCTGCATAAGGCACTGAGAGATTTTGAGCAATACTTTGTGTATCACAAGGATAATATGAACCACATTTTACTGGGCGGAAGAATACTCCCATTGCAGACCAATGCAAGGAGAAGAGAAGGTGGTCTTCTGGCTTCAGCTGTGATTTCCAGAAAAACAATTTCTTCTTTTTTTTTGAGACAAGGTCTCGCTCTGTTGCCCTAGGTACAGTGCTGTAGCATCATAGATCACAGCAACCTCAAACTCCTAGGCTCAAGCGATCCTCTTGTCTTGGCCTCCTAAGTGGCAGGGGCCTGCCATAATACTTGGCTAATGTTTTTCTATTTTTGGTAGAGATTGGGGTCTTGCTGCTCTTGCTTAGGCTGGTATTGAACTCCTGAGCTTAAGCAGTCCACCCATCTTGGCTTCCCGGAGTGCTAGGATTACAGGTGTGAGCAAACTCACCCTGCCAGAAAAACAATTTCTTCACAGCAGCCATAGCTGCCAGGCAGGTTAGGGAGCGATGTCCCTGGGCATCCCTCCTCACCCACTCTTATTATAATGCTCAAGAAGAGAAGCCAAGTTCAGAAGTCAGAGAGGCCCTGGGAGTTCTCACTTCCCACAGTGACCTCCGTGGGTATTCAGGCAGCAAAGGTACTTAGTTTCTGCCAGGTAACTAGAGAGGAACTCACAGGAATTGTCTATGTAAAAAGTACGGATCCTGATGCACTTGGCAGCCACTTTGAATTTTTTTTTCTTTTAATTGAAAGAAAAGCGCATTAAATTTGAGAAACACTTTTGTAAGCTGTAGTTCCTGTATTAAAATGAAAAAGAAATTTTTCAGAAGGGGCAAGGAAGATAGAGTGAAGGCAGGCTCAGAGAGCCAGGGAGGGAGGGCCTCCTGGGCTCCCCCTGAAAATCATCTGGGCAAAGCCGGATGGTTACACAGAGATGGGAAATGCCGTAAAGAGCAAGCATGGAAATCAGAGAGGCTGGAGATGCCATTTACTGCATATGTGGACACTGATATACATTTATTTATGTGTACATACATGTGTGTGTATGCACACAGGTACTTGGGTTAACTACAGCTAGTTTTAAAAACTAGAAGCAGTTTTTAAACAAACTTTAAGTTGTACAATTTTATTTTACTTTAATCTAAAGGGATTCTCCTGGAATATACTTTTCACTAAGAAAATCAGATTTTTCTCCTCTCCTTATCCTATGTGATCTGGCTATTGTAGTCTACCTGAACCTTTTCTCAGAAACTCAAATTCCTCTTTTCTGCAACTAAAATGGATGTTTTCTACATTCTCATCTTACTTGAGGTCTGTTTTTCTGTCTTCATATGCCATGAATGTCTCCCATTTAGCTAATTTGATATCAGGCAGGGTACTATTGGCCCATTGTGACTTGTTATGCTGTTTCTCCTAGATGACCTAGAAAGATGTAAAATATGGTTTTTTTTTTTTTTTTTTGAGACAGAGTCTCATTCTCTGTTGTCCAGGGTAGGGTGCCAGGACTATAGCACCTTCAAACCGTTGGGTTCAAGCAATCCTCTTGCCTCAGCCTCCTGAGTAGCTGGATCTAACTACTACTACTACTACTACACTAAGTGTTGAGTAGCCACAACACTTGGCTAATTTTTCTATTTTTAGTAGAGACAAGGTTCTTACTCTTGCTCAGGGTGGTCTTGAACTCCTGAGCTCAAAGGATCTGCCTACTCTGCCTTCCAGAATGCTAGGATTACAGGTGGAAGCCACGGTGCCCAGACAAAAATACAGTTTTAAATCATGCCCCTAGGTGTGTGGTAAACAGTTTGTGTATTACAGAATGCTGCAAGAATTAATAAATAATCAAACCATTAAATTATTATTAAATTTATTATTTGCTACTAAGTTGAAAATTTGATATTGTTAAAACAATATTAAATTATTAAATTACTAAAACATATGAAAACTTACAAAACACTAGGTGCCAAGCACTGTTCCAGGTTCTGTGCATACACTGAATTCTTAAGACAACTCTACAGAACAGAAGTTGTTTTATCCCCATTTTGCTGAAATTGAGGCAGAAGGAGATTAAGCAACTAGGCTCTCCGTCTCAAAGCTGGGAGATAATGGAGTCAGAATTTGAACTCAGGAGGTCTGGCTTCTGCTTCCAGAGCCAGTGCTCTGTCAGAGTTAGTGACATTTTTTGTGGGAGAAAGGGAGGTGGTTGGTAGAGTCTCTCAAATTACTCCCACAGAACAATCCTATCTGCAGTTTCTCCTGGGAATGAGGTGGCCTCCTTGTAAGAGGGGGTGTTGGAGCTTTTGTTCTGATTCCAAGAAGTTGCATCACCTTTCTGATCTCAGTTTTCACTTCAGTAAAACAAGGAGAGAGGGACCAGATAGCCTCTAGGATGTGTTCCAGCTCTGAGACAATATAATATCTTTAGCCTTCTTGCACTAAAACGCTGATCTCTTGGTGCCAGTAGGGAAGAAGTAAATTAGTTCTTGTTTCCTACACCGTTCAAGCTAAAAGGCGTGGGGTAGGATGCTAAGCAGACACCTAGAAAGAACAGAAATGAGGGTAGAGCACCAACACACCTCAACCTCCAGCTAAGAAACATAAAAAGAAACACACTTACTGGGTACCCACTGTGTGCTGAGTTTTAAAAAGATCTTATAATTTAATTCTCACAGTATGCTTGTGAAGTAGCTAATATTGTCTCCAATTTAAAAAAGAAGATGAGGGCCGGGCAATGGCTCATGCCTGTAATCTTAGCCTGTAATTTTGGTTGTCTGAGCGGGGAGGATCGTTTGAGGCCAGGAGCTGGAGAATCGCATGGGCAACATTGTGCAACCCATCTCTGCAATTAAAAGAAAAAAAAAAAAAGCTGGGCTTGCTGGCATATGCTTTAAGTCCCAGCTACTTAGGAGGCTGACGGGGGAGGATCGCTTGAGCCCAGGAGCTGGAGGTTGCAGTGAGCTACGATGACGCCACTGAGCCTCAGTCTGAGCGATACAGCCAGACCCTGTTTCTAAAAAACAAAGAGAAAAAAAAGCGTAAGTTTAGACACGCCAGGTGACTTGCCCAAAGATGGGCCAGCCAGTAAGTGAGGCAGGCAGGATTCTAATCCAATCTGTCTGTTTCATAGCCCACGCGCATTTCTCAACCCGCCTCCTTAAATATCTCATTCCATTTTCGCTGCAAGCATATGCGGTAGATATTATCTCCCCTATTTGGCTGATGATGCAAGTGAGATTCGCTGGCGAAACGACTTGCTGGGGTACAGCAGGAGAAGAGACTGAGGGGACTGGCGGGAGAGGTGGATGCTTCCGCCGGACGCCCACTGCCGGCTGCCCGCCCGGGCGGGTCCCACCTTCCCGGGTCCCAGCCCCCACCCACCCCGCGCAGCGCCCGCGCCGAACTACGCTTCCCGGCAGGACGCGGGCGCGCGCACGCGCACCGGGGCCTCCACCATGGCGACCGTGCTGTCCAGGGCGCTCAAGCTCCCGGGTAAGGAGTTGCAGCCTCGCGACCACCCTGTCCCGGCTGGGCTTGGGGAGACCGGGAGGTCAGGCTTTGGGGGCGAAGCTGGTCGGGGCCGGCGGAGGTCTGGCCCCAACCCAGGCAGAGCTCCGGGAAGCCGGAGACGAGGCGGGTGCAGCCCCGGCGGGTTGGGGTCCTGGTCTCACCAGGTGGCGGGATGGGCGCCCGGCGGGGCGGGGTCGCGAGCAGAGGCTGGGAGCCTTGAGGGGAGAGACTGCTGGAGGCGCGCAGGGCAGGTGTCGCGGAGCCAGCGGGCGCTGCCACGGCGGTGAATGTCAGAGCGCAAGTCGCCTCCGTCCCTAGGCGAGGACTGGTGAGGGGAGCATCCTTCCCCGAGTGCCGCGGACAAGGTACCGCGGAGACTTTGTCCGGGCTGGACCTGGGCTGGGGCAGGGAGCGGCAGGGCGGCGAGTGACCCTCTGTGGAGCGGCCCATGGACTTAACGACAGCAGCTCACGCAGCTGGGAGGCAGGTGGAAACAGATATTTCCCTTGCTAGTTTACAGAAGAGGAAAATATGAATTATTTGACTATGTAATTGAATTGTCCAAGGTTGCACGAATAGTATTGAAGAGGCCTGACTCTGATAGTGTTAGATCCTGAGCTTTTGGTTCCACCTGGTCCGTCTGTTTGGTTGTCGAGGCTAAGCATGATAAATTATTTGGCGCCTGTAAGTTGCAAGTAATATATAGAATATTCTTTAAGGACGCTCTGGTGGTGATGACAACTTCCAGAGCTGATTCAGTACTTTGGGCAGTTCTCCAGATTTTATTTTTCCCACCTCTTAAACCTTCAGAATGAGACTGTTGGGACTGTATGTGTACCGTTAGAAATTTGCTGTTTTAGTAGAACTACTATCTATTCTGACCAAGTAAATTTTAAGTACTAAGGCCTTAGAAAAATTTATGGCTTTACCAAAATAAAGTTTAAGCATTAAGCTATAAACATTTGTTTGCCTATAACTTGTAATACAGGGAAAAGTTGCTTTCACTGGCATCATTGGAAGTGGGTAATTGGGTGGATAGCTAGCATGGGCTGCAGGGGGAGTGCAGCAGGGTCCTGGTTCTCAACAAACTTCTAGTCTACTACACTGAAACAGACCTTGTGCCTTGGATGACACTGGGTTGAGTGTGAATTTGCATTCCTTTCCCCAGACTTCATGATCTTAGTGTGTGTGTGTATGTGTTTTAAGTATGGGCCACATTGGAAGGAACACTGATAATATCTATCTTGGAATATGTATTTAACATTGGTATTAAATGGCAGAGGTGACCCTTTACTTGCAGAATTAATTAATTTTTTTGAGACAAAGTCTCACTATGTTGCCCTCGGTAGAGTGCTATGGTATCACAACTCACAGGAACCTCAAACTCTTGGGCTTAAGCAATTCTCTTGCCTCAGCCTCCTTAGTAGCTGGGACCATAGATGCAGTGCCCGGCTATTTTTTGGTTGTAGTTGTCATTTTTGTTTGGCAGGCCTGGTCTGGGTTTGAACTTGCCAGCTCCAGTGTATGTGGCTGGCTCCCTATCCTCTGAGCTACAGGCCCCCAGCCAGATTAATTTATTTTGAAGAGAGCAGCCTTGTATCCTTTGTATAAAATGATCGTCTCCCAAAGGGGTAATGAAATAGACATATTTAACTTTATTCTTTTTCTTTTTTCTTCTTTTAGAGTCCTTGTTTTATTTCAGCATAGGTCATTGTTATTGTTTGAGGTTGAGAATGCAAGAAAATCTTGCTTTAGAAACTCTTGATGGCTCAGCGCCTGTGGCTCAAGGGGCTAAAGCGCCAGCCACATACACCTAAAGTGATGGGTTCGAATCCAGCCCAGGCCTGCCAAACAACAATGATGGCTGCATCCAAAAAAATAGCCAGGCACTGTGGCGGGCACCTGTGATCCCAGCTACTTGGGAGGTGGAGGCAGGACACTCACTTGAGCCCAGGAGTTGGAGGTTGCTGTGAGTTGTGATGACACGGCACTCTACCCAGGGGGACAGCTTGAGGCTCTGTCTCAAAAAAAAAAAAAAAAAAGAAACTCTTGATCTCTTTTGTGTTCCCCTATCCTGGAGGATTCTGGTATAGTATAATAATTTGGCCTGCTGATAGGATAGGTAAAGGATTCCTGCGCCCCAGTCCTTGGACCTGTTTGGTCCTAAGCACTCAGGTATGCTTGAAACTTTTTACCCCCAGATATAGCAGGTCTATGTTCTTTTGCATGTTGTGGGTTGTTTTCTACTTTTTTTCTTGTCTCCCTCTTGCCATTTCACCCCTAAATGTAATTTTTAGCTTTTGTATTAAGTTGCTCTCATATAGCTCTTTTTGGATCCTCTGTAATTGGGGCTGTGAGACTGTTATGCTGTTTGGGCTACTGTGTCATGTTCCCTAAGATAATAATAGCCTCACTACTTTCATATGTGAGGAATAGTGTGGTGGCTAAGAGGATGAGTCAGGCTCAAGTTCAAATCCAGTCTTCACCTGATTAATTTCTCATCTGTAACAATAGTATTATTGTGGAACATTTCACTATATGACACACATTCTATTACCTATTTACCAGTTAGGGTTATTTTGAAAAGTAAAAGAGATTGGTAGGGTAAAGAGTTTTATTAATCTCTGACATGCTAATTATACCAATAAGTGTTAGCTATTTCTATCATTAACACATGATGATTTATGAATGTGATACCTGAAGGAAGCCCTGATAGTGTAGTGAGGGGATGACAGATCTCAACAAGCTTGTGATGAAAGAGTAGTTGCTGGGAATGTATTTTTTGGTCTCAAATCCTTTCACTAAGCTCAGGATGGAAAGATGTTTGGCTCATGGGCATAAAATGAGGCGAATTAGAAGCAGAAGGACAATGTGACATTCATAAAGCCTGTGGGATTACTTAGCTGGTAATTATATATATTTTAGGCCATTTTAAAGTTTGAAAGTCAAACACTGAAGCAATATCAGAGCACAATGGTTTGTTATGGTTTGTTTTTATGGTGTGTAACTTAGAGTAATTATATGCCCCTGGATAAACTAATCCATGATATGAATTGTTTACCTTAAGTTGTGGTAAAGTATATAGTGTATGCTGTAGTACAGTTTATGTTTAGTGTATTTTCCTGAGAACATTTAGGGATGGTATAATTGTATCACTTTCCTATCTGTGTTTTTCTCCATACCGTGTTGGAAATGACATTTAATCAGCAGCTTTAGTTTTCCTAAGAGTTAAAGTAATAGCTGTGGAAAGCTCATTTATTTTGATGTGTTATGAAAGGAGTGCATTCTCCCTTATTCTTTGAAAACTTTTCATTAATTAAAAATTGGGGTGGTGTCCGAAAGCAGCAGAGAAGAGAGTGAGTGCTGAGTGTCCCAAGCTTGGAAGCCTGGATTTGACGTCTAGCTTCACAGCCTCTCTATGACGTAAGGCAAGTTGGTGGACTTCTTTATACTTCACTCTCGTCTTCTTGTCTTTCTGTGAATAAATAGAAAAAAACATTGTTTAAGATTTCTCTAACCAAAACTTGCAGTCTGTAATAATTAAACTGAGCTTTGTTTTTGCACTATTTGAAGAATATATTAGTATATTTATCTATTCTCAAATGTTAGTCAAGAACTGGCTGTAACTTTGAATGATTTTAAAGAGGCACAGGTGAAAGTGTTCTTGAAGCCCTCTGATTGGAGACGCTTGGAGAAGAAACTGCAGACAGGGTGATTGATTTGAAGGGAGGTCGAGACTCGCTCTGGTCGGCGACCCAGCTTAACTTTACTGATTATCTTAAATACTTTCAAACATTCAGTAAGAATTTAACACAGATACAAAGAAGTGAAGTAACATTAGGATGTTACCATTAAGATTACAATTCAGTATGAAGGCTGAGGAACACATATACAATTGATTTTGTTTAGAGTAAAAATATAAAGCAGACTGACAGTCTGTTCTTGCCAGCCCAAACCGAAACTAGAGATTATAATGTTAATGAAGGGAGAAGACAGAGAACAGAACCCAACGCTCAAAGACAGGCATATTAGCCCCCAGCTACACCCTGGCTGATTCTCCACAATTTCTAAGAGAGTCTTTCTGCATATTTCTGCATATCTATAGGCAGGTACAGAAGCTTGATCTTCAAAGAAATCTTTCTCAGAATCAAGTCTCCTGGGGGAGCACATTGAAGCGAACTGCTATGTCTGAGCAAGGGGTGCTTATCTCTTACACACAGGATGGTGATAGCTCTGAATTTTTGCATGCTTTTGCCTTTATACTTCTAAAGTGGTTCTCAACCTTCCTAATGCTGCAATGTATTTTCATTGTTAAAAAGGGGTCGTGACCCACAGGTTGAGAACCGCTGTAGTATCGTGGCATACCACTTGTTCTTTCTCTGAGGACTTTTTAGATGTTTCTCCAGTGTCTTTTAGTGCTGTGTGTTACTCTGGAGAAGTCAGCTTAATTTCTATTCCATCTTTAGTAACTTGATTCTTTTTCCCTTGGCCTGGTTGCTCATAGAATTCTTTCTTTGTCTTTGAACTCCAGTGCCTATACTAGGATGTGTTTTGGTATTGATTTTTCCCTATCAGTTTTTCTCGGGACTGAGTGTACCCATGATTCTGCAGTGATAAGTCTTGCTTTGTCATAGGAACTTTTGCTTTGGAATCTCTTTTAAATTTTTTTTTGGTTCCATTTTCTCTTCTCGTTGATTATGTTGGCTCTGCTTTGTTCTTGATGTCTATCACTTTGTTTCTGGTCTTTTAAAAAGCTTTCTGTGAATGGCTGACACCTGTAGCTCAGCATCTAGGGTGCCAGCCACATACATGGGAGCTGGTGGGTTTGAATACAACCTGGGCCTGCCAGACAACAATGGCAACTACAACCAAAAGATAGCTGGGCCTTGTGGTAGGTACCTGTAGTCCCAGCTACTTGGGAGGCTGAGGCAAGAGAATCGCTTAAGACCAAGAGTTTGAGGTTGCTGTGAGCTGTGATGCCA